ACTTGCACTACTCACACCTATGGGAAGCCTAGAGCTTGTTCCGGCTGGGTGTAGCCTCTTTGGGAGTGGAAAACCTCGGCAGCCACCGTGTAAGGCGGCGCCAGATCTCTCTCCAACAGGAAAGGAATGCCTCCGTCTCCCGGGATACAATTTGTAAAACCAGTGATAGATTTATAAAATTTCAGGATCACGCCGCATATTAATTATTCACTTAATAGAAATCCGTATGTATTTATTATATAATTTAATAAATATAAATCGTGCTTGATAACAGTTGCAGTCTCTATATGAATGTTATAGTAATTAGAGTAAATACAAAAATATTTTATAATGATATTTTATTGTTATCACAAATAATTTAATTTTATTCTTAGAAATGATACAGTAAAATGGAAAATGAACTTGGAAAATGATGACACAAAAATGAAATTTGAATTTAGAAAAATTGGTCGAACTATAAATTGCTTCCCAGTGTTCGCCTTCCTGGTTTTTGTTCTATTTCGTTTCCAAGGTACTGGACGGCCGTTTTGTTCCGTTCCTCCTGAAATCAAACCCTGTGTAAACCACCGACGGAACTAATGACCATAATAGTTGACGTTGACGCGTTCGAAAACCCTAAATACCCACTCACTGCCCCTAAAGCCCTTTTTAAACGAGGCATTAAGTTGCACTTTCTCTGAACTTTTGTTCGCAGTATCATCGCACTTCGGACGATGCGCCGTCTTTAATTAAGATGACGCAGGAGAGCAATAGGATGGGCGTCTGGTCACCGCACTCTGCAATGACGCCAGTGCTGCTGGATGTTTGTCTGCTATGACGTCTTCGCAGTTCAGGGTCGTTTTTTTTTATTGCGGTAAAAACTGAGAGTTCATTTGCTGTAAGTTGAAGTTCAGCTCTGAGGCCTCACTACATTCCTGCGTACCGGTGTTTACCGGCATATTGATGAGTGTTTTGAATAATTCGCAATATGAGACGCATGATTATATCAGACAGAGATGGAGTATATTTTACCAAATAAGCAAACTTTCAAATCTTGATGGATTTTATGTTAACCTCTGCAATGGAAATACTGTCTAAACATCAATGCGTCATCGTTTTAATTATCAAACATCTTAACTTAATTTTTGGGTTTGTAACTTAAGATTTCCAGATATTAACAGGAATATTTGAAGGCGAAGGAAGTTTCAAATAGTGTGAATACTAATTTTTTCCCAAAGAATTCTATTATAACAATCCATATTATTCTATTATAACCTAATATACACATCATTTTCCCGTTATGCAGAACATTTAACTACTCAGTATTTGTATGCAGGTGCTTTCAATGGTAAAAGTCAATATCATTCCAACAAGGGATTCAACTTGCTCATGAAATATCTCAAATGAAATGTTGAAAAAAATCAATTTAGTGTCATTGTTTAATTTTAAGGAATATGTTATATGAATGATTATTTTTTTAAAATAATAGCCCAATAAAAATGTTTTTTGTAATATTCTTCTTGCTAGTGAAACCAAGTGCGCTGACAAACGTGGCAAGAGACCTCTTTTCGTTTAAACTTCTTAAATTTCGGAAATTACACACTGCGTTTTTTGAACTTCTCTTTTGTTCCTAATATTTATATCTCAAAGATGTTCAATGCCTTTGTGATTTTATTGAATATATTTTCCTAAATTTCTCCAAATCTTATTTTCAGTACCCGGAAATTATGTTTTAAGTAAAATGAAACGAAATTTTCTCGAAGTGCTCTAAATTTTTGTCGAAAATTTTCACGTGAAAAAATGGATTGCTTATGTATTATGTATGGACCTCTGCATTCCGTTACTAGCATCCCCTTATTTAGGTGAAGGTATTACAGGCATACAAAATAAGACAATTGAAGATATCTAAATGTTTTTTAACGTCACAAAGTTAAAATATAAATATTAAAGAAACTTCTGTATATCTTTGTGTTAAATGAATTGTGTTCTACGATATTTTGTCAATTTATGAGAAATGATTTAGCGCGAAAGGTGAAGTTTTGGGAGCTTAAGAGGTTTTAAAGCAGGTATTTGTAACCTTTTTTCTTTGATCGACCTCTTTTAAGAGAATTGTTTTGTTTCATAGACCCCCTTGCGTTTTTTTATAATATACAGCGTCCATAATCATGAAACAAACAATTTGGTATAAATGCCTTGTACCTTACATAACTTAAGGTACACATTAGAGGTAACAATTTCGCACATCAATGTTCTCGTAAATATCTCAATTTTCAATAATCGACGACTCTTCCAATTTTGTGTAGCTGAGTTTCTATGCTACTCAACTACCCCTTTTATGCAGTGGTTGCAATTTTTCTTTTAAGAAATGGCCACAGCATTTCTCCAGTCCATATTTCGGAGCGTACTTTCTTGAAGGATAGAATATCTTTGTGAATGCCTAGTTACAATTTTTGAGTTTTTTGGACATCATAACTTCTATGAGTGAACGACGTATAAGATCCAAAGGGACCTAATTTATAATATATTATTAAAGTTTTTTGCTTTATCTCAGAAAACAATTAATTGATTGCATGTAGTCATAAATAATATCGAGGAATCTCACATCGTGTCCCGATGTCTTAGCAGCAGACATCAATCAGGTCATCAAGTAAGGTCATTTTAACCTTACTCATAGCTACCTGACAAAAACTATACCTGATCCGTGCCAAAATTACGGTTTTCCAGTATCTACTAAGCACCTTATTGTTGATTGCCATATGATGACCACTGAAAGAGCAAATCTTAATATTAAGTGGTCTTCATTGTTCATTCAACTGTTATTCGGGAGACATGAAGATTATTCAACTCCTTACCAAATTTTGATGTGGTAAATTGTATTTAGCAATTGACTAGATATTGTCAATCTCATGTGCAAGTATTATATTAACGTTCTACCTCCAATGTATATGTCGAACTTCCAATGTACAACCTCCTTACAATATTTCCGTAAGTAATGTATTTTGGAACTATGGTCACCAATGACCCAGTTGTTTCTAAGGCGATCTTAAATAATTTTTTTTTAAATAATTAATTTCATTTTTTTTGTAATCAAAGAAATCTTGATTATACTGATCAGCACGCAGATTCATATTCGGTCAAAACCCCCCTAATTGACCCCTTTAAATATTCATTGACCTTCAGGGAGTCGAAACCGACCCTGATGACTCTGCTTTAGAGAATATGAAGCAAATGCGGTAAAATTTCCTTGCGACATTGATTTTATGTGTTATGAAATGGACATAGTGTGCTGAGCTACAAGCAAATTATTGCAATATACAGTTGAAATATTTATAGTACGTGAACTACAATATAATTATTAAACTTTTACGTTACTGTTAGAGATAATACGAGAACGCTATGTAAGGTTCACTAGTTCGTAGTTCAATTCAAGACAACTTGAAAATATTGTATTCTTGTAAACATTATCAATGATTTTTACTATATGTTTATCTGTCATACACTTGTCAAACAATATGAGTACTACGTTACCATCCAATATACCTCACAATTCAATAACGAACGCTTCCTTTGGACTTACCCGCAATTTAATGCTACGAAACTGTGGAAACATAGTTTAATTAAGAAACTTTGTAATTCCAAAATACAGAAAGTAACAGGAGATTTTTTATTCATTTATGTCCAAATATCAGAAAGTAATAAAATAACTTAAAACAGATGTAGCAACTAGTTATTATTCAATGCAACTTTTAATTTTTACTGTTTCGCTATCTATACCACGGGAGAGAGAAAGTTATGTAATATTGCGCTACAAAACCAATTTTTGCCAGAAAATATCTTTTACAGGACCCTGACAACGAAAAAGTGGATAAATGTTTTGTTGGTGCTTGATACCGAAAGATCGATGATCGTCGATCTATCCGCACGTCTATCCAAAATTGATATTTCTCTGTCTATCTGATTGATGTCGCGTTGTTGAATTTGAAACAGTTTTTTTTAAATTTTGGAGGGTACTTTATATGAAACCCCTGGGACATTTTCAAAATTTGAAAAAAATAGGTCCATCGATTTTGATTTAATTTTGTTGTTGGATAGTCTGAAGAAGTCTCATGTTGGCTAAGAGTCCTGATCTTGAAAGAGGCGACGAACGTTCCTGAAAATATATTCGGAATTGGGTGAAAATAATACTGACGAAGCGCAGTTGTCCTAGGAAATGTGCACGTGCTAGAAGTGTCACGTGTCTAAGGTTTTTGCGTCCGAGATTGTTATATGGCGTCTGTGATTTAGTGTAATTGCGCAATTTTCACTTCTACTACCCCTACTATAATTTAATGAAGTGAAAGGTAATACAATGTATTATAATGTAATATAATGAAAACAGAATAACACACAGTCCAGTCCCACAAACGTGAGCATTGCCTATGTTTGACGTAAACGTGCAATAACCTCTCACAGATGTCAGGTAGCAGCACTACAGTGAAGGGTGCATTAAACATGTTTCGGGTGGAAGCGGAAAACAGTGTAGTGCTTGTCGCAGTGCAGAAACGGAGCGATTTATCAGGCGTTAAAAGGGCATGAACTTTGTATCGACCCAAGGGCGCAAGCATTTCCGAAACGTCTAAGTTCGTAGCGTGTTCGCGTCCAGCAGTGGTTAACCCGGCGCGTTTCAAATATACCATGCATTCAAAGTGGCGATATCCAAAATGCTTCATTTTCGAGTTATGGTCTTCTCAACACTCAAATTCACCGGAACGCTTTTCCTTCCGCAGGTCGTTGCCGAGAAAGATGATGTTAACCGGACACTCTGACAGTTCTTTCTGTGGTAAAGGTTACATTCAGTGTATTTGGCGTTCGACTGTGCGTCATGTTCTCAATTCAGGAGCTGGTAGACGTCCACTTCATGACGGATGGCAATACTGCGCTGTGTCGTCGCTTGTATCAGGACCCGCAGCGACAATGTCCAAATCAGAAGACATTTGTACGTCTCCATCGCCGTGTGTGCGAGCGTGGAAAATTTAACTCTCCTGGTTTGGGGAGAGGACGCCCAAGATCTACAACTCCAGCTGTAATTGAGATTCTTGAGGTTGTGGCCACGACTCCTATCAACACACGAAGGTTAGCGTTGCAAGTGGATGTTCCTCATACGACTTTCTGGAGACAGTTGCAAGAGTATCATCAAAGAGAGCATTTTCTTTTGCAACGTGTACAGGCCCTGTCATTAGCAGATTACCCTACACGAATTTAGTTCTGTCAGTTGTTCTTGCAGCAATGTGGTGCAAATCCGAACTTTCCTGCCTTAGTATTATTTACAGATAAGCGCAGTTCATACGAGATGTCATTACAAATTTCCATCATCAGCATGTATGGGCAAATGAAAACTCACGTGTAAATGTTCCATCTCATCACCAGGTGCGGTTCTTCCTCAACATGTGGACCGGTATCATATGTTATCGATTAGTTGGACCGTACTTGTAAACAGAATTAAGCGACAGGCGAATACGAATTTCTTGGAAATCACCACACCTCATGTTTATGAAGATGATCAGTCGTCAGTCGTCGGTCGGTCGCCGGTCGCCAGTCGCCGGTCGCAACTGCCGGTCGCCGGTCGCCACGTCAGTCGTCACTGATCAGTCGTTAAGACGCTCACTTCTTGCATGATGGCGCTCCTGCACATTTCATTCGCACGGCTCGGCGGTACTTGGATCGAAGACCTTCTGATCGATGGATAGGTAGAGAAGGCCCAATTCCTTGGCCTCCACGCTCACCTGATATGAACCCTCTAGATTGCTACTTGTGAAGACATTTAAAGTCATATGTGTAATCGTCTCCGGTGCTTGATTTGGAATCGAATTATGGCACCTTGCGAGGACATACGCAATACTTCGGGAGTTTGGGATCGTGTTCGAAGGACAGTGAGATATTGGTGAGAGGTCTGTATTCAAGCAGGAGGTGAACATTTTAATCATCTTCTGTAATGACAACGACCTGCGTAAAGAAAAACGTTCCGGTGAATTTCAGCGAGGCCATAATTCGGAAATGAAGCATTTTTGTACGCATATTGTAATGAACTATTTTCATTGTCTGCATATGAGGAATACTTCCCTAAAATTATAACCTAGGTTTTGAAACACGATGTATTATACAACAATTTATTCTGCCAAATGAGCGTGCGGTTGGGGCGAAAGGAAGCAAAAAACTGAACGCAAATATAAAAATTAAAATTATACAAACAATAAAAACACATAATACAAATTAACGAAAAGCAAAATAAAAACAC